AACTTGTCAACAAATGCTACATTCATTGAGGAGGATACCATTATGTATGAAAGCTTTCATACCTCTACAGAATAAGGTATTTCTGCCAAAACAAAAACCATATTCATGGCAAATGAAAACACTGGTAGTATGACTTTCTTCCTCTGAACATAACCAGCATTTCAGCTGAGAACTGGAATAGTCATGTTAATCTTTTGCCAGAAAATTGAAACAAACATTTTTTTCATGCAAAAAGTTATTTTGTAAAAATACTTTTGATGGCTAGTAATATTCTTAAAACCTTTAACTTAATTCTTGGAGGGGATGTGTAAGTGTGTATGTAGCCACTGGACTAAAATGGCTAGTGGTGTTACTTTGTCATCCATTATTTCTCCATTAACATAAAAAAAAGGAAAGTTACCATGTTTTTCACTTTTGAAACTGCAGAGGTAACTTTCTTGTGTGCAATAAATAAACAGGTAAATTCCTTGTAATGTTTTTTTTCTCTCTCAATACTAAGCACCATGTTTCACTACCTTTCTGACTTCTTGGAAACTTTCTTAAAGATGCTGCTGTTAAGTAGTGGAGTGCCTGTACAGCTCTTTGGCTTACATTTGGAAAGGAACAGATGAAAGAGTTGTTTGCATTAAATCTAAACTTTAAAATTTGATATTGAACATCTTTTCTGAGTGAGGAGGATATCTCTTGGCTACTTAAGGCAAGAAAGTTGAGCAGGAACAGTAATAATCTCTCCTATATCATGTGAGAAGAAAGATAAGCTGTGATAGTTGTTTCCTTTTTTGGTAACAGGTCCATGCTGGCAAGACTGATGGCAAGCCAGCAGAAGCCAAACAACTTTGCTATGCCAGTAGTGCAGTTCATGAAGCCCTGTCCCACCACCTGCTGGGCTGGATAGGGGGCTGGCAGCCAGGCAAGGTCAACCCACCACATCATTTAATGAGTTCTACCTGTAATCAGGTTTGTCATGATATTCTACCTGGATTTTATAAGATGTGGGTGTCAAAATCCTGTCTGTAAGTGGTGGCAGCAAAGGAGCAGCAGTACACTACCCAGTTTGGATACCTGCAGCCTGGTGAAGTAGGGTTTAAGAGGAACTTATGTGGATGGCATGTACCAGCTATGGTAGTGTGCTCAGTGCTGCTTGGCTTGGAGAAGACTTGCACTTAGCTTTTTAGAAACCATTGCTCAGAGCTGTCTTTGAGCCAAAGGGCAAGTGGGAGTAGTAGAAATGCTGCTTTATTTGGAGTACTTCCAGCACAAAGTTCAGGTGGGCTGGCCGTTACATGGCCAGTGTTACTGGTGCTTAACTGTTTTTCCAGGGGATAGGCTTCATGGGCCTGAAAAGCTCCTTGGAATGCTTGTTTCAGCCTGTTACGAATTCATCTCTGCTTGCAAAAATCCTAGCAACTGAGAATCCTGCTCTGTCCTTCAGAGTAGCCACAGCACCCAGCAGTGCAGGGAGCAAACATCTTAGAGACTGATCAGACTTTTCACAGTCAGAAGAAAGAGAGTGAGGCCAGTGCAAACCAAGCAATGAAATAGTTTGTAAGTCAGCTTTAAATTCTTATAGCATGTTTACTACTGTAAATGCACAGAAGAGTCTGATATTAGGTGAAGCTGTGTCCAAGATGGAAACATCATTTAACAAAGGGAAATAAGAAGGTGGTCATTTCAGAAAGTATCACACACGAAGAGGAAATTCTGCAGTTTACTGCCAGGTAAAGAGAGAGTTCAAATTTGCAATCAGCAAAGCATAATAATTTCTAACACCTGGCTCTGTTTTTCTAGGAATCCTATTTATAAAGTACAAAACTGTAAAGGTTTTCTATATCAGCAGGCTCATTAAAAATACCATTTTATACTGACAGCTTTCTGTAATCACTGCAAAATCCCAGATGTTTTTAATAGAAGCTTTCCTTTACTAAGCAGCCTCTGCTTCATATCAGCTGTCAGAGAATGACTAAGACCCTTTTGTAAAACAGACATGCCCAATTTTAAACAAACCCACAGCTCAGCAATGAAAGACAACACACTTACTGTTTCTGAGATGAGACTTTATTTTAAATCAGCTTCCTTGTTCCTCCCTAGACTCTACTGCTGTTGACTGAAGCATGCTGTACCTGAAATGCTAATAGTCACCATAATTTAAGGATATAAAGTTATGTTTTGATGCTGCAACTATAAACATAATGTCTTCTTTTTTTTTTTTTTTTAATTCATTCTAAAGCGAGCTCTGCTCAGGATCAGTTCCAGACCACGTTATATGGGTGCACAAACACATTGTGATTAACATGATATTATCAGTTTCTGTTTTGAAGAGCTGCCCTCAGTCTCATGTCTTGTTTTTTGCAAATGGGTGCTCCCAGGGGGTTGGAGCAGTGCTGGTCCCTCAACACAGCTCACTCTTTAGGTATGTTGCTGAGTCCACAGAGCCAGGGCGAGAGCCAGCATCGTTAGCTATCCTGGTAAAATGTCTGACAGGGGCTGGTGCCTGTATCAGCAGCTGTTGTTGAAAAGGAAGAAATGGCTTGGGGCTCTTCCTATAGTACTGGAAAGTTGTCAGCCTTTTCTCTGTCTTATTTCTCTAGCTGTCTCACTAGGCCTGCATGTAGAATAAGAGATTATGCCCTTCCAGAAGTCTGACTTGGCCCACAGCTGCAAAAATAATTCCTCTATTCCATATCACTATAAACTAACAGGTGAAAACAGATAATACTTCCTAACCAGAAAATTTTGCAGGGCAGTTTCAAAAAAAAACGCTTAGTGCAGACTCAGGTCTGAGTTTACTTGCACACTTACTGTTTGTGTTCAATTTAGACATGGCTGGTGCAGTTTAGAGTTTAGACTCTTGGTGCAGTTTCCAAGCTTGTAAAATGTGATGCACAGTTGCAGCCACTGCAGTACTGTTTTTCTCCAGTGGAGTCAACATGGTATTCAAGATGATAATGCTCTTGAATACATTCTGTTCAGGCACAGAAGTATGAGTTGTTCAACTACTCTACACATTAGTGGCACTTTCTTTGATAAATAGTGAGAATATAAACAGCATTCAGACAAGCTATAGAACAGTCCATACAAAAGCATATGGAAGAAAGGCACAAATTGATTTAGACTTGGAGTATTTTGTCAAAAATGAAGCACACACAGACCTGCAAATTCATGTAAAGAAGACAAACAGTAAAAAAATTTTGAAGGGACAAACAAGCCTTTGGCAACTGACCTCTCATTCAGGTAAGTGAGAATTTTTAGGCAAGGCCCATCCAACTTTTTTTGCCAGTTGTATGTATAAGCTGTACCATAAATCAGTTGCCAGCACAATATTTTCAAGGGGGGAAAATGATGGATAACATCTAGAAACTAGGGTATATATGTTACTTTTCAAATAAATAACAATCACTCCATCAGTAATTCATATAATCAGAGTGTCTGTAATAGGGCACTTCAGTTTAGTGTGCCAGAGATGCTCCATGGAAGTAGGAACAATTCCAAGGCTGCCAGGTCAGTACTTCACCACTGCTACCTGTACAGTTCTGGTTTTAAAAAAAATTAAAATAAAATTCCATGAAAGACAAAGAATTCTCCACGAGCCACGAGCAAGATAAAGTAATTTGATCAGTGTTAAGGCAGCATGTGGGAAGAAGGCAGCAATAGGTACTTGCTGGAGAGAAACTAGGGAACTAGCTAGGGATCAGGGAACAGGTTGCTCCTTCCAGCAATTCTTGCAGTGAAGCTGACCTGTCAGTCTCTTCCTCCTGCTGCCACGACACTTCTCTGTGCATACCAGCAAGAGAGATGCTGTACCTAAGAAAACCTCAAGTGCAGTATGTCAGCAGGCAGAAGGTCAACACTTGCAAAGAAACAAACGGTGCTTCCTTATTTTTATGCTGCCATAAGAATTTTTGCTATTTATAAAAAACCTTAAAAAAAAAAAAAGGACCCTGAGACTGAGACCATCTCCTCTCATGGTTTGGTTGTACAGCCAACCAGTTTGTGGTGCTCACTGAAGGAAATGTTTTTGGTTTTGTTTTTTTCTGGTCAATTGATCACTGCTGTGTGATGCTCCAATAGATGTGTGGTGATTGAAGGGCTTTGTAGAGGAGTAGGAAAGAGCACAATGGGAAGAATGGAAGCCTACTGCTGCTTTGGCTGTTAAGATGCATGAGCACAAGCATACAGCTTGAATGGATCCATGGTGCTGCTGCAGCTGGCAACTGGACAAGTTCCTTCCTGAGTGGAGTGAGGCACCTGGGACATGACCTGCTCCCGGGTCACATAAGGAATCAAGAGAGCTGCTGGCACTGACGATCTTGGATCCTACTCCCTTGCCATTGGTTTTAGTGCACACAGCACTCTTAATTTCCTTGAGTCAATGAGCTAGACAAGGATGGTCTGCCAACTCCAGTGCTGGGAAAGGAAAGGCCACAACATGACACCTTCTGATTACCCTTAAATTTCTTCCAGTCCTGCTTTCTTTAAAGTCGTATCTTCATTTTCTCCACCTTTCCAACAGCAGTTCAGTAGCCAGCAAAATGCTTGTCACTTCATTTCTTTGGTCATAGCTACTGGAACTCAACTGGTAAGCAGGGGAATTCCTCATTCCTCTTCAGTCATGTCAATGCAATGTGCCAAGTGCAAATCGTTAATCTAAATGTATTTCAAATAACTTTAAAAGCATAAACAAGGTGCAACTTCTACTTTACAGACACTGGGAGAGATTAAGCATTGCGCAGGAGACAGCTTTAGCTCATTTTTAGCAGAGTTCATGATAAAATCCAATGCACTGGATCCTAGGTCTGTGGTGCCTCTTGGGCTTTTCCTAGAGTAGGGACTTACAAGTGCATGAGAAGGACATGTGAGATAATGAACTGTAATCAGTATCTACTGTAAATCGTGTACGCTTAACACCTGCTCCATTTATTGAACTTGAGCATGAAGAAAGCATTCTCAAAGATAAGTGAGAGGAAGTGTAATGTAGAAAGGCAAGTGAAAGTGGGATGCTGCTCTACAGATACTATTCACAGCAATTAAAAACCACTAAAAAGACTGCGGAGCTCATATCTCAGCTAAAAAAGTGACTGGAGGCTCTCCCACAGGAGGGCAGTGAGGCAACACCTACTGACCATCAGTGGGACTCAGGCCCTACCTGTCTTTGGGGTTTTGAAAAATAATTATACTCAGCGAGTACTGAACAAGAGGTCCCACCCAGAAGGCTTCAGGATGTACGTTTTCTTTTAGCGAGATTCTAGCAAGATGTAGACTCCATTTTTTGGTCCAAGTGTGGCTTTTGATTTCAGCTGCAAAGGAATCTGAAAGAAAAAAGAGCATCTTGTGTACAGTTGTATGTATCTGTTTATGTGTGTATAACACCCCCACACACAGACAGACATTTTTGCTGGGGAACCAATTCATAGCAGGGTTACTGTGGAAGCTGTAAAGTACTTGTTTTGCAGTCAGCTGTGGTAGTATAATATTAAATAGAATTTACAGCCAGAGGCTGAGGCAGTGTTTGCCCAGGCATACTCTGTATTGAACAGAAAGAAATTAACTCTCAAAACTCTAGAGCTGCTGAATAAGTACCAGATGCAATGTATATGTCAATAGGCATATACTAAAGTGCTGAGATCCCATGAGAGACGTACACCCATTCTTGCCCTATATAAATCGAGGCATTTTGACTGCAGTATTGCTACACTGCTCTCCTCTAAGGCAGGACTGTGTAACTGTTTTGTTGGAAAAACCATAAAGGTTAAATCACATTTTGATTAAAACATGCAGCCCAGGCCTCATGTCCCTCCTCATTATGGTAGTGGCTCCAACCACTTTCTCAAAGTGAAAGTCACAAAGGCAAGTCAGTCATCCTGTCTAGGGGACACTGTCAACTCCCTGAAGTTGACAAGTGTGGCCTTTAGGCCTCTGCATGTACAAACCTCAGTCTCTGGACAGGTCTTAAATTGAAACTTCTGCAAAATCCTCAGCAGAGTAATTTTTGTCTCCAGCAAGCCCATTTTCATGCCAATGCAGCCACGGGGTCCTGCCCCAAAGGGCAGGTATGCAAAGGGATGTCGTTCCTTCTTGGCCTCCTCTGTAAACCTAGAGGGTGCAGAGATGGAAACCGGTTCAAGAAATGCTGTTTACTCCTGATTCCATGTTTTTCATTTACATCTCAAAAGGTGGCTATTTCAGTTGGTCATAAGGTCACAGGTCAAGGGGACTATTGACAGATCATGTCCTGATGGGGCTGATACCCTTAAGTAAACAGATAATTGACTTACGGCCATCAGCCTTTGTCGGCTGGTGGTTCTAGGAGAGGACAGACATTAGTATCACTTCCAATCTATCTTTAATGAATTGCCTTCATTTGATGACCACACTCAGAAGAATAACTTCAAGTGCAGGCATCCTAGCTGTCTAGAGCTTTGCATGTATGAGGGAGAGATTACAGCTAAGAGGAAACTAATGGATTGCAATGTGAACTAACCAGAATTAGCAGCAGCGCTTCCCTGCTGTGCACCGCAGATGCAGATCACTGGGAATTTCTCTTTGCAGTTTGCAAGGGGAGATGAAATCTCATGGGATTGGACAGGCCATGGAAGACATTTATTACAATTCAGTTCAGCCTTTCTTTCTGCTCTTGGCTCAAAGACACCAGGTTCCCAGTTGGTAAATTGCAGACAGTTCAGTTCTTAGATCTGAAGTACCTCAGTTCAATCAGAAAGACTAATGCAGCAGTGTGTTTGCAGATCTGCATCAACTAGCCAGCTTTAAAATACTTGACCAACCCATTAGAAATTTCCTTTTTTTTTTTTTTTTTTTTTTTCCACAAGGAAGGAAACAAAGTTCCTATTTGAACAGCAGTTCAAAGGAAAAAAAAGTAAAATCTGTTTGCCAACATCTGCAAAGACGGATGTACACTGGATAGAATATTTACAGACAAGAGCACAGAGTCTGAGTTAGTAGAAGTTATTAGGGCCAATATGTAACCAACAAGGTGCAACTTATCCTGGCCTGTGCTGAGTCACTCATCAGAATGGTTCCTTAAAACAAGCAAATCTTTACAGCAATGACATCACCCTGGACATCCACCATAGTCCTCCCATGTCATAAGGTATTTGGAGCTGTTCTGGTAATACAGAACTACTTTTCTAGTTCTGTACATTGTTAAAGGTTCTGTCCTTCAGGTAAAGGGTCATGTCTGAAAATATCTCATCTCTGGATACAGTTTGCAAGAACTTTAGTCTGGTAAGGCCCAGAGAACTCATGCAGGATAGAAGGAGATGAGAGGTAATACAGACAATTTTGAGGTCTGGAAAAAAAAAATAAATAATTGTTATTTCCACTAACCACATCCCCATGCTTAGGGATACAAAATATGATTGGGATACTACTGCAGAAAGTACTATAGAAACCCTTAATTTGAGACTGAAGGATAATTAACTCATTTACTGAACACTGTTGCATAACCCATGCAAACAGTTTAATGCAATTCTTGCCTTGTTCACCCCTCTATATAATTCTGGTAAATTTAAACTCTCCCTTGTATTATTCCTGAGGCAGATTTCAAAACAAAAAATTATGGGGGAAAAGGCTGTAGCTGAATTAATTTATTTTCTGTTAAGCTTGTATTTTATAATTTTTCTAACATTACCCACTGATACAAGCTGGGGAGAGTGTTAGTAATTATGGTTCATTCCTCAGGGAAATTTCAAAAGGGAATTCATCTCAGATTCATAACAAACAGCCCCCACTGTCCATTTTACCCTCTAACACACTTTCATACTACTGTTAAAGTGGTGAATAAATAATTAAGACAGCATTTCTAGATAAGGAAAAAAAAACCAAAAAAGCAAAACAAAACCCCAGACTTACAGTTATTGGTAAGATCCCTCCCCCAGAAAAACTCTGGGCTCCTTTAACCCTGGCATTGCTTTTCTTCATGGCCTAAGATGCCTGACAGAGCATATGCCAAGATTTGCTCTAGAAGGAGCACTGGACACACCCATCTACATCATACATGTGCTGTCTCACTGGCAAAGATGGTTCTGGGCTGCATGCCTCACACTCAGTTGTTTGTGGAGCATGAGCTTTTTTTCTTAGTAGACTTTTTAATGTAGTGGTAGCTTAAAATGCAGCTGCCCACAAAAACAGCTTAAAATATAGCTGCCCACAAAACTAAATTGTGCTTCCACACAGCACCACACCAGCTGAAACTCCCCCTGTAAGCTCCAGTCAGCATCTATAAGATAAGGCAGGGTACAAACCACAACTTGACAGTGCACCCCCCCACCCCCCCCCCGTCCCACCCCAGTTGAAGAGAATAAATGCTCCACGTGAAAGTATGCCTTGCCAAACAGAGATAAGAACCCAGGATCCTAACTTATGGACAGAGAGCAAATTCCCAGTGGGAGATGGGATAGGTTCCCCACTCACAGTGTAACCACACTGTTACAAGATCTCGGGTGAAAAGGCTGCTCTAAACCAGCCAGGAGCTGAACAAGTTTCCCGGGCACCTCCATGCCAGTGAATGTACTATCTCACTTAAGAATTTTCTGCATCCAGAGATGATGCTATTTGCAGCATCTGATTTGGAAACAGGTCTGAAAACTTGCACCACGTTTCAACCTTGACCAAACCTCTCACCTTCTGTGGGATGTGCCACTATCACCACTTGTCTAATTTGTTAGAAATAACATATTTTTATGATTGTCACTAAAAACCACACAGCCACTCACTTACCATCCTCCTTCCCACCCCAGGGAATGGGGAGAGAATTGGAGGGGTAAGGGCAAGGAGACTCAAAGGCTGAGATAAAAACAAATTCATAATTGCAATAAAATGAAATAATAATGATAACACTAACTATATTATTAATAATAATAATGATAGAATACATAAATGAGTGATGCACAATGCAATTGCCCACCACCCACTGACCAAGGCCCAGCTTGTTCCCAGCTAGCAATCCTAGGCGAGGAGAGAGATCCCAAAACTGCAATCCTGGAAAAGCAAAAGCCTGGCTTGCCAGCCAACCCACATTTATATACTGAACATGACATTCTATGATATAGAATATCCCATTGGTCAATTTGAGTCCATCACTGTCTCTGTGCTCCTATCCAGTTTACGCAAGTCCTTCTAGCTAATCCCACACTAGCCAAATATGAGAAGTTGAAAAGTCCTTGATTTCTTGGCAACAACTAAAACCACCAGTCTCTTATCAACATTCTTCTCATACCAAACTCCATACTAAATCCAAAACACAGCCTATTCTAGCTGCTAAGAAGAAAATTATCTCTATCCCAGCCAAAACCAGGACAATGATTAAATTGTGCTCCTTTTGGTGGAAATAGTGCTTCAAGTGAATAGTGGGTGACAGTGGCTGTGAGGGAGCAGCAAGATCTGGTGTCTCCACTGGACAGGCTGCAGTCCTGTGCCCACCTTAAAATGTGTGAAACAGCATTTAAGGCAGGCCTTTGATCTAAACAGGCACAGATAAGGACTTCAACCTAAGAACAGGAAGCATTGCTCCACATACCTCTCAGGAATGAACTTCTCGGGCTCCGGCCAGAACTCCGGGCTGTGGTGGAGGTGTCCAACTGCAGTTTCAATGACAGCCCCAGCTGGAATATGCTGCCCCAGCACTATGCAGTCTTTAGCTGCTTCCCGAGTGAATCTGCAACAGTACATGTCATGTATCCCAGATGATTAATAAAGGTGAAAACACAGCAGGAGGGAACCATAAAAGTCAATCTCTTCAGCTGGACTGACCCCATAATTTCAGGAATAACACTTTCCCAGTAGAGAAATACAGTCACCGTTGCTGATGGTAGTGTCTTCCTAGGTTACAATCATTTCCACCTAGAAGCACACAGCACCAGCCAAGCTGGCTAACTTTTGCCCTTTTCACAGTAAAGAATTTCTGGTTGCTTGTGGTTTTCCAAAATGTTAACTTTTAAACTGCAATTTTGCTGCTTATATTGGTTTTAGACTCATTTTTTATGAAAACTGCAGATGAAATGTGTCAGTCATCTCTAATAACAGGCAGCAGAGTATGCTGGTTTGCCTTCAGAAAAAAATAAATTAAATACATGTTTTTAGTTTATTTATTTGAGAAGCTCCCCTGCACTGGGACAGCACCTGAAACTTCGGAAGGGATGGTTTTAATCTTAGGGCTAAGCGTTCTGCTGATGCTACAAAAATACAACCAACTCACAAGCCTTGGAAAACTGCAGCTCACATATACTTATCAAAGGCAAAGCATGATGTTAGGAACAAAACTCTCCAGGTTCCTCCCACCCTGTGGTGACAGGTGACAGAGTAGGACTGTCCTTAGGAACCTCATCATGACAGTAAAACCGAGAAAAGCTGCCTGCCAAAGCTGAGCTTGGGTCTGTAAACCTTGTCAAAAATGGTGTGTGGGTGTGCATATGTGGTGGCAGATCCTGCTCTAGATCTTTTGGTGCTTGGGTGGTCGCTACAGACCCCAAACCAGCTCAGACCCAGGAGGGTGCCCTGCTATCTCAGCCTGGGTGCTCTTCCCTACAGGGGTGAGACAAGGTGCAGGAGCTCCCTTTGCTGCTCCCCAGGCTCTGCGTAAAAGGTTGAACAAAGATTTCAGTTTCAGGGCTGTCAGTCTGGTATCATTACAGGAACACATTCTTCCCTTGCTGTCACCCATCTCTCTCTCATAGACAAATAAATAACAGAGGAACCTGGAACAAAACACTGGTGTGTGAAAAAACACATTGACAAGCCATCCTTCGCATCCTTACATGAATTTGGTGATAGTGGAAACATGAGTTCTGGAGAAGAAAGTTCTCTAGTTAGTAAGTTCATTTTTTAAATAAACAAATAATTTTATAACAAGCTTGGCTGCTACTGAATTTTCTCCTAACTCAGCATTATCCTTGTCATAGACAATTAGCATCTTTTTGAGGCACTGGGCTGTCCTATCCATTCCACATCCATCAGAGTAAAAGCCAGATCAATAAACACCACTGACAATGCCAGACGAAACTTTGGAACAACTTTGCTCCATTCTCATTCTGTGTCCCATCTGACAAGCACTGATTGTTTCCCAGTGTTTCAGCTGAAACTCAAAGATCCCTGAAGCTTAAACTGGCAAAACAATTTCTAGTTGTATACCACATATAACAGTAATGCCCAGTCTTCTCACCCAGGAGCAAGTATCTTTAACATTTATTCTCTGAACAATCCTGCAGAAATCCATGGAAAAATCTTGACTTCTGATCTTTGTGAACATATAAAAGAGAATATGATTTTAAGTTTTTTTTTTTTTATTTTAAGGTGCTTGCAATCATGGGGCAATGTTTTCAAAGGCTCTCACAGCAAGCTCAGCTTTGGCTCCTTTCCAATAATCTGAAATTTTCCCCCAGCTTCACAAGAAGCAGTGCAACTGGCCAATCACTTTGAAAAGTTATACTCTTAACCTTTGCATTTATGGTTGTGATAACTTGGAAATTTGTTTTCTTATTTCTTTTCCCCTTGTTTTCAGTTCGTCAATATAACTTAGTAAAATTAGTCTTGTGTGAATTACAGCAAAACTTTCAAGATTTAACGGATGTAGCCATTAGCTTAGCTATATTAGTATAACACAGTACTAAGTGCAAAATGGTACGGTCCAAGTTAAACACACATGCAAAATACAGCTTTCTGAATGTGTGACCCTTCCACAGATCAGGGCCTTAATGACCAACAGGCTACGGTAGGTCTTTGCTCCACATCCCTGAAGCCCAAGGCATATGGAAGCAGCAGCATCTGGCTTTCTAAGGCCAATCCTGTTGCAAAACAGGTCCATCCTCAGACCTTGGGGGATGTGAAGAATGATGAGGAAGCGATCTTGGCCTATCTGTTGTAAAAAACTGCTTTAGAAATACCAGTATTAGCCAGTTTTCCTTCAACAGGCCACATTATATCTTTCAAATGCACAAGCAATATTGATGTTGGCACAGAGACCAAGGGCACACTGGTCTTCCAACAGCAGATTTCCATTTTACAGAGATAGGGATCTACCCTGTGGAAACAGAAGGGGGGGGGAGGGGGGGGAAGATACCTGAATGCAGGTGGGTACATGCGCAATGTCTCTGCAATCACCATGTCCAGATAAGGGAGTTCTTGTAAATTTTGGTAATCAGGAACCATCTGAAAAGGCAAGAAGAAAGAAACAATCACATTTTCTCACATTTAAGTGCCAAACTCATCTCAGATTATCTTTTAAATAATCTATTTTTTTACTGGGCATTTTTCCTGTAGAGGAACTCGATGTCTCATCTAAAACAGTAAATGATAAAATTATACTAAAATGTGGGCAGCAATTAAATGTGTGTATAACATTCCTTTCATCATCAAAATGCTTTGGTGCGCAGCCCAGATGAAGATATAATAATAAATCAACTTGCTAGGAAGTATTAAAACCAGGGCACTACAGAGAGCATTAATAGCTACAACACACTAAAATCTGCACAGGACCCTCGTTTCTTCCCAAAGACAAGAATGTGGCAGACCAGGAGCACTTTGTTCACAAGAAACTGCAAGTCCTTCAGTTATTCTTGTTGATGTTGGAGCAAACCCTTTGCCCTTTCCCAGTTATAGAAATAAAACAAAGTCCTAGTGCTGTGATGCCTGCGGAGGGAGGGGTGTGAGGTGGCATTGGAAGAAACTGGTATCCCAATGAGGAACAGCATGCAGCAGGGAATTGCTCTGCCATGTAGAGTGGCAAATCATAGAATGGTTTGGGTTGGAAGGGACTTTAAAGCTCATCTAGTTCCAACCCCCCTGCCATCAGCAGGGACACCTTCCACTAGACCAGGTTGCTCAAAGCCTCATCCAGCCTGGCCTTAAACACTTCCAGGGAAGGGGCATCCACAACTTCTCTGGGCAACCTGTTCCAGTGTCTCACCACCCTCACAGTGAAGAATTTCTTCCTAATATCTAATGTAAACCTGCCCTCTTTCACCTTAAAGCCATTTCCCCTTGTTCTATCACTACCTGCCTTTGTAAAATGTCCCTCCACAGCTTTCTTGTAGCCCCTTCAGGTACTGGAACCCGCTATAAGGTCTCCCCAGAGCCTTCTCTTTTCCAGGCTGAACAGCCCCAACTCTCTCAGCCTGTCCTCACAGCAGAGGTGCTCCAGCCCTTGGATCATCCTTGTGGCCTCCTCTGGACTCGTTCTAACAGGTCCATGTCTCTCTTGTGTTGGGGGCTCCAGAACTGGACACAGTACTCCAGGTGGGGCCTTATGAGAGTGGAGTACAGGGGGAGAATCACCTCCCTTGACTAGCTGGCCACACTTCTCTTGATGCAGCCCAGGACGTGGTGGCCTTCTGGGCTTTGAGTGTGCATTGCTAGCCAGAATGCTGAGCTTCTTGTCCACCAGCACCTCCAGGTCCTTCTCAAGGCTGCTCTCGATCTGTTTTCCACGCAGCCTATATTTGTGCTTGGGGCTGCCCAACCCAGGTGCAGGACCTAGCATTTGGAATCCCACCTGGCAGGATTGCAAACAGTGCCTGGGGAGAGAAGCCTGTGGCCACCCCTTGTGTAATGCTGCTTAATTTTACATGGTGGGCAATGCCTGAGCCCACAAATTCATAAGTCTACAAAACCATCTGGCCCTTGACAATGAGCCATGGACACTAAAAGCTGAACAGGGTTGTAGCTCAGAAGACTTTGCTCTCTGACAGGCAGCAAACAGACAGCAAGAGACACCAAACTGCGGACGACCACCAGCAGCAGTGACAGGACTCAGTGCATGGATGAACAGAGAATTTCTCCACTGTTACCTTCCCCGGAAAAAGGACATTTTCCCTGTCTTATTCCATGCTCTCAGCAGAGGGCAGACAAAGTACATCTAATAACGTCATCAGGAAAGCAGAGTTTTGTTTTAAATTAGAGCATCTCCTAAAGACTGACACAGAGTAAATTGGAGAAAAGCACAGACGTCAGACTAGACTAAACCTTTTATGAAGATTTGGGGCTCCTGCTGTTCACAAAGGGGACTGGATTCCATCCTTCCTTTATTTACTACAGCACTTTTCATGTATAATGCATATTTTATTGAATTTTCATGCAAAAACATATGGTACATACTGAAAATACTAAGCAGAGAACAACTCCAGATGGTATGCAGAAAAGGCGTACAATAGAACGAGGATACCTTGTTGGATTAGGGTATCCCACTTATTCAGCACTAAGCCACCATGCACCATTTCACATTAACTGATCTTTTCTAGGAAGGAAACAGATACATTCTATTATCTCATTTTTTTTGGCAAAGGAAAGAAAAGCAAAACCAGAGAAAGTAATTTGCACAGGCTGAGCAGAACCAGTGTGTCTGCTTCTCTCTTAGGGAAACAGATACAACTAAGCTTGTCAATAGATGAAGTATTTTGTCAGTATATGTCAAATATTATCAATACAGGAAGTATAGACTGCACTGACAGCCTTTCAATGTTGTTTTTATATTGCAGTAGTGCCTACTAACTCAAACTTTCGGCTGAGGTCGATGGTTATCAGACAAAGGACTAGGAGACTAAAAGCCACAAATGGCTGCAATGTCATCTGAACCATGGCTGAAGGCTGCACGAGGAGCTGTGCTCCAATAATTTGACTAGCTAAAACGAAAGACAGAAGGATGACTTTTATCATCCTTGTTTTGCATAAAGGGATCTGAGGGCTGTGATCAGACTCAAATTTCAAGCCTTTGTGGCAAAACTGCCCTTCTCCATGACCACACAGGTGTTCCATGCTTTGATGCAAATGCGTGCTGTGCTGTGTATTCTTTTTTTTTCTGCTAATTTTACATTTCTTTTTCAGAACTTTCCTCTGTCCTTTTTATACTGCTCTCCTGCATCTCTTTGAATCCTTGGGTCAGCATCTGAGTCCTGTCCCTGCAATCCCTCCCGATTTCATGGCCAAGCTGGCTGAGGGAAGAGTGCAGGCTCAGAGTAAATGAGTGGTGGAGCCTAGAGCACACCGTGATGTGTTCAATTCTCTGAGCCATGCTCTTTCCACTGGGCCTTCCTGTCTCTCTCATAATCCCTCTACTTACTTCTGGAGTCAATAATTAAGGTAATTATATGGTAACCTGATATAATTAGTAGCCACTAAATCAAACCATACATCAACAAATAATATAACACTAAATTATGGGAGCTTTGATTTGCTCTTTCAAATAGCTTCTATACCTTCAGGGGATTAGCAGTTCAGAAAACAAAACAAAGGTGTAAAACCAGCTGATTTTCCTTAGAAGAAAATTCATTTTGTTTACATAAAAAAAAAAGGGGGTCAGTCAAATGGCAGCACAGTGAACTCCGCCATCATGAGCATGGCAGACACATCAGTCATTTCCTACATCTGATGCAACTTCATTATTGGCATTTCCATGCTTTTACCATCAAAGTAGCTGGACCTAATTTAGTAGTTGTTTGCAAAGTCTGACCTACGGCTGCATAAAGTACACACCAGACAAGTATCTCTATTTAGGAAGGACAGTTTGTTGCTTTTTTTTCTCCTTTCAAAGAAAATATTTTCCATTTGTTTTTCCACTCCCTCTCTTCAAAATATTCCTTTAGCCAAGCACATTTCAAAGGAACTTAAATAAGCTTTTCTCCCTAAATGTCCCTATTTATATCTTTCAACTGCTAGCAGGTTTGCTGGTGAGGAGGGTGGTGGTATGCAAAGATGCCACTTTAACCCCCTGTAAAAAAAAAAAAAAATGTTTACATTGTCTCTTACTCAAGATTGGGTGTTTTTTCATTAAGAAAGAGATTTCTTTCTGTCACAAGTATAGATGTGGGGGGAGAAAGGAGGCACTACATTGCATGTAATAAATCATCCTATACTTTAATTTTGCAGCCACTGCTTTGTACAGCAGTTTGTCTTATGCTTTGCACAGCCTTGTAGTACCTTTTCCTGTTGACATGCAAGTAAAATGGCCATGTAACATCTTGTGGCATTTCTCCACATGCACATTTCCCCTGTTTGATTTCTGGAGGTGGGGTAGTACACCCTCACCCATCCCAGACCATTCAATCCCAGGCCTCTATTCCTCAAAAAAAGGTGGGAAATAAATCCTTCCCCCCACAGAGTACTCTGAGGTAAAATAGCAGCAGTGATTAAAAAATTGCCTTTATGCCACAAGGATGATGCATGTTTTAATCCCATATAAATTCCAAAAGAGGTAACTGCCTTCAGATCCATCTCTGCTTTTTAGTATTGGCTTTAGCGTTTTCTAGACAGGCAAATCTATTTTTTGCCACCACCCTCAGTTAACTTTTAATTCCTCAATGAACACCAAGGGAATCCAAGTGCTGACAGGAGAGGTCTGGCCAATCTTTCTGCTGCAGTTTGAGATGTTACTGTTCCCAGTTGCTCGTTCCTCTTTGCTGGCTATGGTTAGCATCACCACAGCCAAGTCAGCAGAAGGGAACATATGCCTGCACCTCAGTTGCTTCCATACAACGTCCAGCATGAACCCATCTTCAGCGACAGTTTAAGACAAGATACTAACTTTTCCCCAAAGTAGCTGATGAGTGAGGCACAGATCCTTCTCTACCACTTCTCTTTTGGGAATGGTAATCCAAGTACACATCAGTGAATAAGAGATTTCCGCTTATACTATTGGTCATGGTCTGGTGGTGCTCAGCAGCCAGAAATGAAAAAAAATCAGAGAAAATTTTGTGTAGCTGACAGAGTGTGACGTGCACCTGAAATCAATTTGGAAGCAGCAAAGGCTGCAGAGACCACATTCCTCACAACCAGCGCTGCTGAGTCATGGCCTGAGACTGAACTGGCTGTGGTTTCTGAGAAATTGCAATCCAAATCAAATGCCTTATGGGCAGGTGTGACTGTGACAAAGTCCATGTCAGAGAGATGACGTGCAGATCTGCAAATGCAGATCCATGAGTTATCTGTATATGCATAGCTACACAGCCCACATCAGCTCTCCCCCAAAATGTAGACTTTGGATAGCAATAGGATAGGAGGTGGTGAGTCAAAAACAAGCCAGCATCATCCTCAGTGACTCTCACCCACCCCCCTTTGAAATTGCCAAAAAAATTATTCAGACTGTAGCCATAGCTAGGATTCACATATCATTTCTTGATCAAATGGATCAAAAGCTGCTAATAGATCAAAGAATCTCC